CACTAAACACTAATATCTTCCTAAATCGAAAATATAACCGTTTAAAATATTACTACTTGATAATAACTAACTGTCTGTTTAAAGAAAATCGATGTTCTATTATATTTATTTTTTATACTTTTTTATGAAAACATTGATATTTTCGAGAACACCAGGTATTGCACAGTTCATCAGTATCCAACTTAATTGTTCAATTATTAATGTATCTTTTTTATAAAGTTTCGATCAATTAATAAAATTGATTTAGTATTGTATCGTCGTGATTGGGTGACATATAGTTATTCTAACTTATATATATGTTGTTCGTTAATTATCTCAATCATTAAGAATAGAATAAGAATAAGAAGACGAAAATAATATCATTATTATTACCGGAAAGCATAAATAATTTATTTAATATAAAATAATTTCTTTTGTCAAATAGAAAATTTTATTTAAATATCTTTGAAAATTTATAAAAAAAGAATAATAGAAAATTTCTTCGAATTAAATATTGAAATTTTTTAATATTGTTTTATCTATTTATTCTCCTTTGAATTAAAGAAAAGTCCTCTAGAATGATAGAAAAGTTCACCGAAAGTCCGCTGAGTAATATTAAAGGTCCTATGGGAAATCGAAAAGTCCTCTGAGAGTAGAAGTGTGTTAGAATATCTTGAATTAAGTTGTCCGAGAAGTAAAGTCCGTTTAGCTACCTAGCGGACCTTTGGTAAAGTGGACATTTTTCAGATCTTTGACAGTCCTCTAAAGGAGAAGTGTTTAGAAGAGAGCGTATGTGTACAGCAATGTCACGATAGAACTGCAGAAAAGTAGAAAAAGAATGCGAATCTATGTAACATCTCTAACCGATCATACTTAATTGTATGAAAATAGCTGGATTTTATGGTCCAATCTGCTAAAGAAGAATATTGGCTTAAGATCAAGTCAAAATTAGTTACGAAGTCGTTCTGACCTAGAAAGCGGTTCAGACTTGTGAGCTTCATAACCAAAACCATACCTTCTAGAAAGTACGAAGGAACTAAATTTTTTAGAAAAAGTTTTAAAACTCTGGAAAGGGACTGAATTCAAGCCAAGTACACCATATTAGATAATCTGAAGAGTTATACCGTTTCCTTGAAGAAAGGATTTTATATTTGTTAGCAGACCTTTCCACTGAAGGTGGCCATTGTCAAAATTACTGCTCACTAAGGCGACGTTTTACGCACAGAAGATCTTTCTACATCTTTCCAAATATTCAAAAGATCTGACAACGTACTTATTTTGCTGATCTTTTAAGAGTCACAAAAAGGAACAACTTCAACAATAAGAGTCGTTAGAACTGTAATAATCCACATTGGCGGTAACTTTTGGTGAAAGACAAAATTTTGAGAAATGGTGGATCTAGCACCAAGATAAATACTCACTATTTAACAACATTTAAAAGTCAGGCATTTTCAGTTAAAGGAAGGCATAAAATTGAGACGATTTCAACAAAAGAAGCCAAAACTTATCTTTATCATGTTACCTAAGAACAAGTTGCAAGTATTAAGAGTTTTCGATTGAACGCAGAACATAGAGCACTGACAAATTAAAGATTCTCAGACAGCTTAGGATTCATTTTAACCTCATAGAAGTATTTGGATGTAGACAACATCGAACAGAGGGCTTTTCCACAGTTAATCATTGTAAATCACTTTGTTACGAGAAGAACAGAAAAGCAAGCCAAAGTCACTTGGGTCGGCTTTTCAGCTTTCAGAGATGTTCACAGATCCAAATACTTTTTTTTTTGGTTTCTGCGTTTATTGTTACACTCTGAAGTGCTTACAAAAGAAAAAAGGGGAAAAGGGAATAGACAGAGAGAAAAAAGGAGAAAAGAAAAGAAGGGAAAGAGAAGAGAAGGAAAAGAAACCAGAAAAATAAAAGGAGGTTAGGCTCCGTGATTCTCCTTGTCGTAGGCGAGGTCTCCTTCTCTTTTCCTTTCATTGTATAGTTGTTCAGGGGGGGGGGGGAGGATAGTGACACACAGTTTTTATCCATACGCAAAGTCAATCCAATCGATTAATAATATTTTATGCTGATTTATCATTTTCTTCACTCTATTTAATCTGAAGAATTGTCCTAATGAGTCATTTTCCGTTTTCCTAAAATGATCCCAATAGAAAATGTCTTCTACAAAGTTTGATCGACACAAATCTGATTTGTACATATTCTCCAGTCTTTTCTTAATATATTTCTGCGCGTAGAATGTGAGTGGTTTTTCATTTGTTACCACTAATAAATCATTTGCTTTTGCATAGGGACACCTATGTACTATTCTAAAAACCACTCGAAATTTTCTATCCAGGGCATCTCGTTGTGTCTTCGGAAAAAGGGGATAGACAGGAAATATCCATGCCAGATGAGGCAAGACATATGCAAAGAAACATTGTCTTAGAACTTGTTTCGTAACCTTTCTACCTTTTTTCAGCCATTTCAGTTTAGCGAGCGCCTTTTCAGCTTTTTCAAGACATAGATCCACCGTAGGTTTAAGCGACATTTTATTCGTCCATGTAAATCCTAAATATTTAAAGGCATTTACTATCTCTATTTTTTGTCCTTGCATATATATATTTAGTTGAGGCTTTTTTACTTGTGTGTAGAAAACCTGTCCAACTGTCTTTTGCACATTGATCGGTTGTTTCCATTTATTTGCATATTCCGCTATTCTAGTACAGACTTTCGACCCTTCTTTTTCCAGGAATTCAATTGTTGAGGATAGTTTCCTCATAATGGGCGCCTTTACCAAAATGCTCAAGTCATCAGCGTAAATATGTCCACAGTGTGCACCTGTACATTGATTTAAATCACTATGGTACACTATAAAGAGGTAGGGGCTCAGACTAATACCTTGTGGTAACCCAATATCAATATGAAAACTGTCTGATCTTTCCTTTCCGAAGGAAATATAAGCCTGACGATTCTTTAACCACGATAGTGTCATTTTCAACAACTCTAAAGGCATACCTAGCCTAGATAATTTTATCAAAAGGCCAGCATGCCACACAGTGTCATACGCTTTTTTAAAATCCACATATAGAGCAAGCGTAGGCATATTCGCCGCCAGACTGTTCTTTATTTCCTGGTAAATCGACAGAACTCTAGTACTTAAAAGTCCTCCCGAGCGAAACCCTGATTGTTCGGCCGGGACTAACTGGGCTCCTTCCGCCCAGATCCTGACCCTTTCAAGTACTACTTTCTCAAATAATTTCGAATGAGTCGGCAGGAGAGAGATTGGTCTCGTCTGATCGGTTCTTGGTACACCAGCTTTTAATTTGTTCAAGGTTACTACTTTCGCTAATTTCCAAAACTCTGGGTACTGACATCTTTGTAACCAGGAATTAAAACACTTCGTAAGGCATCGAACATATGCTGGTGGAAGTAATCTGATCATATAATTGGAAACTTCATCGTACCCGGATGATTTCTTATTTTTCAATTTCCTAATCAACTTTTGCATTTCTAGTACCGAGATTGGTTCTAGCTGGAGCGAAGCGGAAGCTGTGACATCACTCACGATATCTTTATACTCCTCTTCCACTTCACGGTCGTGCTTATCTTCCCTGTTTATAGGGGGAGTTTTAGCTTATTCTGTGTAATATTCACAGAGTGCTCTTGTTATCTCTTGATGATTCACTACAGTACCTAATCCAACAGCTAGTTTTGATAGAGGGAGTGTTTTCGGTTTATAAATCTTTGCTAGGTGAGACCAGAAGGTATTCCCTCGTTTATCATGTGACTCTTGTATGGTCGAGAGAAAGCTTTCCCAACGGTCTGAGTTATATTTATTTATCTCTTTTTTAATCACTCTAGTCATCATTCTTAACAACTTTCTGTAATCATCATCCACCATGCCACCACTCTCTTTCCTCACTCTATAGTATTTATTCCGCACTTGTCGAACTTCCTTCAGCATACCAATTATATACTGTGGAAGGGAAGGGCGATATTTATCTTTGTTTTTCCGCTTAGTCACTCTGTTCTTCAAGGCAGCTAAAAAACGAACGTAGTGCTGATACCAGCTATCGGCATCTTGTCTGTTTGATTCCTTTATCCAAAATTCTTCCAACAGACTTAATACCACCTCAAACACTTTCCAATTCACTACTGGGAATTGGCCATTTGTTTGAAAACCTATTTGGTCACTTTTGATGACCATAGGCCAATGATCACTGGATCCTAATAAGAAAGTTTCTCCCTTCGCATCGACAACATTCGTAAAAATAAGGTCAATATGTCGTGCAGAGCGTTTAGACGAATTTTTTGTTCCAGGTATAAAACACAAGTTCATCTTCTCTACCCATCTTTTCAACAGAAGATCTCTTGCATCTGTGGAAAGACTATTCCATTCATAAACGGAAGCATTAAAATCTCCAGCTAGAACCGTTCTTCCTGTTATGAAAGATGATAATTCATCTAAATTTCGGTTCTGGCAATGAGGCCAATACACTCCGATCACCCTAACTGATTCAGTTAAGCCATCAACATCCACTATCACAGTGTTCTCTGTTTTTATATCTATTCGTGTTGCTTTAAGGTGTTTTCCTACCGCTACCACCACACCACCTTTACTATTTGTACCCCTCTGATAAAAGGTATTGAAGTGGGGAATACTAAAACTATTCCATAGCTCTCCGAGTTCTGTAAAAATACAGATAGAACTGTCAGATTTAAAAATTAAGTCGATTGATTCTAAGGCTCTTGTTCCCCACCTTTGAACATTATATATAAGAACATTTAGAGGAGATTGTAGACAAGGTTTCGGAGTTTTTTTCTTTTCCCAAAGGTTAAAAATACCGTTTAGCGTATTCCCTGAATACTATTCACTCATAATCTCAATGACCAGTTGTACTATACTAGAAGAGAAACCCCAACCTATGACCTTCTTAATCACGGTGCCTATTACATCAATCGAAGACGAAAGTGGATAAGGTAGAGAGGGAAAAAAAGGAGAAACATGAACATTTAACAAGGGAAAAGTACTGTTACTAGCCATTGGTTATTTCCATCAACTGCTCATCTTCCACCAGAACGTTTTTACCTTTGTTAGTTGGTAATGTTTTTGTTTGATCTGTGGGTCTATTAAGGGGAATTGGAGGTGGAGTTGCTGATGTTGATTTAGATTGTTGTTGTTGATGATCAGTATCAATGGAGAGAGAATTAAGTTTTCCTATAAAATCGTCTTTAAAATCTTCAAGTTGTTGAACGATCTTTTGTAGTAGGAGTTGCTTGTTTTTCTTTTCTAAAGATGCATTGATCATTTGTTGCATAGTATTTGCTAAAACAAGAATAGCTTGTTTATTTATAAAGGATTTTTTTTTCTAATAAATCCATTTGCATGACCTGGTTATCAAGTTTTGATTCCATTATACGTGTACCTTCTAAGACCATTTTCACCTGTGTAACGAGTTCACCTAATTGGTCTGTTCCTTGAAAATTTTGTAAATTACTTGGTGCTGCTTGTTCCTTTACCCAAGCTAAACGTGGTTTGTTTGTTTGTTTGTTTGTTTAAGACTTAGTGCTGGATAATCTAAATCTCCAATATTACATTTACCACCTTTATTTTCCACCTTGACCGGGTTTAGCCACCCATACTTAACTGCATTGTTAACTTCCTCTTTTAAAGTACGACGATAATGTAAAACTACTGGACATTCCATACTAAGAGATCCATGATGGCCTTGACATTGAGCACATAATACTGCTTTTTGACATATATGATTATCATTCCATAAATCTAAACATTTTCGACAACGTGGACTTATTTTACATTGATATCGAGTATGACCTAACGCCCAACAGTTATTGCAATAAGTCATTTTAAGACCAGGTATTAATGCAGTTATTGGTAAAAGTACATGACCAATAGCTAAACGGCCAGTACTTAATACCTCTTCATATTCATTTTCATCTGTGATACAAAATCTAAAATCAAATGTTGATCTAGGGCGATGATAATTAATTTTTGAAAATTGTATGGCTGATTTTATAGATCTTGATATTTCCTGAGTAACGAATTCCTTTGGTAAATCAGTTGGTACATAGCGTAAAACTACTGCACAGGAATCAGGTAAGACTCTAGGTCTTTCTACTTCAATATCAATTTTATTCATATCTTTCGGCCACTTACAGTTCCAAAGCAACAAAAAGTCCTTTTTTGTAGTAACACCAACTTTATAACGATTTTTACCTGCTGGGACCAGAAGAGAAAAGTCACCAAATGATTGAGCTGATTGTTGTTGTATCAAATGACGAATCCACGAAACCACTTCCATGGCAGATGGTAATTTTTGTTGTTGAACACGATCATCATCAAGACAAAATTTTATATAAAAACATGATAAATTATTAGATATTGCATATTTTAATTGAGCTGGAGAGAAAATAAATTGACGATCAGTTGTTAATGATGATGATGATGTTATTTTATTATTAGAATTAAATTTAATATTAGTATTAGTTGGTGTTGATTCATGTGGACGAGGTTTTTTGTTCAACTTTGTGATTGAAATTCAAAGGAGTTACTTTCATCTAATGGACGTCGTGGTGTTGATGATGTTTGATTATATGCTATTAATGATGGTGGAGCAATTGTAATATCAGTATTTGTTTTTGTCAATTGATTATTGATTAGCTGATAGTTTTAATATTATACGAACAAATACAGTGAGTATAGTCAAATGATTTTTCTAATTTATACATTAAAAAAAATATGCCACAAATTAACCTAAGGAAATACTTGAGTAATATAAATATCAACAAAAGCGTATGATCGTATATATGATATTATTTTGTGTGTAACATTGATACACGATGATAAGACTCATATATCATGAAAATGACATTTGTCAGGGATAAAAAATACACCATCTACTATCTATAGTTATCATGGGCTTATATAGAATCAGAAACACGACCTTCTTCTATCTATTATTATTATTTTCAGATGTTGATTATATTTATTTTTATCTTTATTATTTATGCTCCTATTCAAATTGTATATAGTTCTGATTTTTCTTCATCTCAATTCGACATAAAAAATGGTGGTTATGCTTTACATGCTCTTCAACGTCTTTTAAATTTTTTTGAATCTGATGCTAATAATCTAAATCTTGATGGGTTATATGGTTTACGTATAGCACAAGGTCAATTAAGTGTTCTTCAACAAAATTTAAGATCAAGAATCAATAAAAAAATTTATTTAACTGATCGAAATAATATTATTAATTCATTATTAACACAAATGGAACGCATAGCAAATGTAAGTTTGCAGAGAATAGCACAAGAGGCATCGTCATATTTACATCGATTTTATCTACTTGTCCATCATCCATTTGTAATTGATTATCAATCGAGAAAAATCAATAAAAATTTAATTGAACAGGATGAAAGAAATTCAAATTTTGATGAAACAGAATCTAATCAATGCTTTGCTGAGTTACTTGGTAAATTCAGAAAAAACAGAAAACATTTTATTTGATTGAAGTATATTTCTTTTTTATTTTAGGTTCCAGTGATGGTTCAAATTCAATTAAATGTTTTGTTAGTGAACGATGCTGGAATATGATGACATCTCCAAAAGAAGAAGATTATCGTATAACACATCAATTACTATGGTTTTTAATTGCAAAAAATATCGGTTGTATACATCAAGAAGCAGCTAATAAAAAATTCAATGATTTGGAAGATTATTTCTGTGCAAATATATATGACGATGCTAAAACCAATTTACACAATAATTTTAATCAAGATTTATTTATTGAACAAGTATTACTTTGTTCAATGATTGGTTATGAAGACTTTTTACGTCTTGATTGGTTTAATACAATATTAACGTGGCAACATCCAGTCTTTGGTTGTTTTAGTGGTGCATCAGAAACTATTCGATTTCATCGTATAATACAACGACGTTTATTAGTGGAACAACAAATGAATAATGGATGTTTATCACATAAAAGTGGTTTGGCAGCAGGATTGTTAGGTATTTATTCACGAATTTTTTTGCAATAAAATAGAACATAATTATCAGCTAATTGGTGAAGGTGGTTCTACTACCAAAAATATGATAGTTAATTGCTGGATTTTGTTTTATTTTTTTTTATGCTTGATTCGATGTCGAAATTTTTTACAACTGTTATACAGAAATAAAATATTAAACTATAGAACATTTTAAAAAAGCTAAGATATATTTAAACTTTCTTTCAACGTTACAATTGATCAAATGAACCTCGTCTCGATTGGAAAGTAATTTAACATTTTGGAGAAATGCTCTCTTGATTATAGTATGATAGCCATATCAGTTAATTGTCGCTTATATGTTGAAGTAGGCCAAAATCTATGAGTGTAAATTCTAAATCTACAATACGCCATTGATAGTTCTAGAATAGTTGCTCATTAAATCAGTTAAAAGATGGTCTTCTCACACGTCGTTATAATCATATTGTAGAAGTCATTATGAGAAAACACATGAATGTCATTGGTCAACATAGTGAACACTATTTGAAATTAAACTACAGAAAAAAATATAATATAATGGTAATGTTTATTCGGACAACTTTCTTCAATGTAGGATATTTGAACAGAAAACAGATAGCTTGTGAAAGTAATCGCTGCAAAAATGATTATAAATTGGATGACTACTTTAGAGGGCTTTCTACATCTGACAACAGTTATTAGATTTTAAATGGACGTAAGTAATATGTTGTTTTTGTCCTATAATATATATATATATACCAATGGAATAGTTGGTATGAAACATGTATTTTCGACTACTGCTAACTTTGTTAAAGCAACCCAACAGGAATACATTACATAGAAAAAGTAAAACATTTGGTCTAAAAGTTTTATGATACCATCCACTATTACTGGAGCCTACACGAAATTTTGTTAGTTACATTGGACTGAATCAAATTTGTTCTATTCGAGTATCGATTAATTGTTTATTAAGTTATTCAATTTTATCATAAATTATTCCTTATTTTGGTGTTAATATAATCAAAATTACAATAAATTCTCATGAAAAAAAAACAATAAAGTATTCTTTCTTTTGTGTGCCATCACGATTCGAAGATGAAATTATTATTTCAGTCATCATTATTTACAAAGATTCAGTTGTATTGAAAAACGAAATAAAGCATGTATTACTGTATGTAATTTTATTCAAGTAGGCGGTGTAAGTACTTTTCTTCTTGACATCACGTAGAGACATTAAGTGCATAAGAATAATTGTCAAGTCTTTCTCTCTTTCACTTTTTTCTATATTCAATCGATATATACCAATACTGAATGTCGAAGAAAAACAACACTTCTCGTTTTTTTTTTTTTTATGTTGAACATTGATTTTCTTTTTCAAAACTAAATCAATGACAACAATCAATAATGAACATGAACAACTTGTTTCAATGGTAAATCAACTTATGAATGAACGTGAAATATTATATCGAGAAAATGAATATTTAAAGGCTAAATTAAATGAATCAATATTAATTGAAACAATTCAAGAAATGAAAAAAGAACGATATTTTTTATTGAAATTATTATCAAATTTAACAATAAATAATAATCAAGATGAACAATCACAATATATGAAAAAGAATATGACAGAAAAGTAAATCAAACTGTTCTCTCATTTTGCTTCTACGCAACACTTTTTTTGGAATATCGGAGAAATGTATAATTTCGAAGTACGGAAAAATCATGGTCTATTTAGTAAAAGAAGAAATGAACTCTATCATCTTGTATTTGAATAGAATAGGTTTATATATTTTTGCAAAAAAGTATTCCATAATTCGTTATTTATGGATTTAATATTCTTCTGCAAACATCATAAAAGAGTCTGGATCTTCTATTGTGAACTTCTGTCTATAAAGAATCGAATATATTGATTAGGTTTCAAATACACAACATAAATTCAAAAATCAACTACAATTAATTGTCCATTTTTTTTAACTTCTCTTTCTTGTCATTATAATAATCATCATTGTCTTTGAATTCTGATTGATGATATATTGATATATGTATGAACTCATTTTCATATTCATCAGTGTTCGAAGTAATTTCAAGATTTAAGTCATCGTTAGAATTATCACTACTATCAAACTTAGGATGTTTAAACAATAAATTCTTTCACAAAACTTTTGTCTTCTAATATGTCGGAGGTAGTTTCTTTATTTATCAGATACATTGTGAATAATTCATTTTTCTTTAAGTGATACTGATTTTCTTCAGTCAACTTATTATCCAACATTCAGTAGTAAAGCAACTCATTATAATACTTCATTAGCTGAACAAAATTCAACTATTTCACATCATGGTTCATCTGTAGCAAATAATCAGGGTGTGGGTGTGTTAAAGATTTTTTGAAAAATAAAAATTAATCAAATAGCTAGCAAGACCGGTTTCGATAAGTGCTAAAAGTTTATACTTATCAATTGCATTATGATTAATATGATGTTAAAAATTAACAAAATCTCCTATTATGATTAAATAATATAATAGAGAACTCAAGACTCGAAATTCAGAGCATCACACGACGCGTTTCGTCCTTGCTTAAGGGACTCGTCAGGCATGTTTAGAACTTCATAATTACATGCAAGTCATAACTCATCNAGCTAAAACCGTTCTCCCTGTTATGAAGGGTGATAATTCATCTAAATTTCGATTTTGGCAATGAGGCCAATAGACTCCGATCACCCTAACTGGTTCAGTTAGACCATCAATATCCACTATCACAGTGTTCTCTGTTTTTATATCAATTCGTGTTGCTTTAAGGTGTTTTCCTATCGCTACCACCACACCACCTTTACCATTTGTACCTCTTTGATAAAGGATATTGAAATGGGGGATAGTAAAACTGTTCCACAGTTCTCCAACTTCTGTAAAAATACAGATAGAACTGTCAGATTTAAAAATTAATTCAATTGATTCTAAAGCTCTTGTTTTCCACCCTTGAACATTATATACAAGAATATTTAGAGGAGATTGTTGACATGACTTCGGGGTTTTTTCTTTTTCCAGAGATTAAGAATGCCATTTAATGTGTTTTCTGAATACCATTCACTCATAATCTCAATGATGAGTTGAACTATACTAGAAGAGAAATCCCAATCTATGACCTTTTGAATCACGGTGCCTATTACATCAAATGAAGATGAACAATGTGGAGAAGGTTGAAGGGGAAGACACGACGAAACATGCACATTTAACAAGGAAAAGTTACTGTTACTAAACATCAGTTATTTCCATCAACTGTGCATCGTCCACCAGAACATTTTTACCTTTGTTAATCGATGTTATTGCTGTTTGATTTGTCGTTCTATTAAGAGGAATTGAAGGTGGTATTTCTGATGTTAATTCAACTTGTTGTTGTTGATGATCAATATAAACAGAAAGTGAATTAAATTTTGCTATAAGATCATCTTTAAATTCTTCAATTTGTTTAACAATCTTTTGTAGTAGGAGTTGTTTGTTTTTCTTTTCTAAAGATGTATTGATCATTTGTTGCATAATATTTGCTAAAACAAAAATGACTTGTTTATTTATAAAGGATTTTTTTTTCTAATAAATCCATTTGCATAACCTGACTATCAAGTTTTAATTCCATTTTACGCGTACTTTCTAAGACCATTTTCATTTGTGTAACAAGTTCACCTAAATGATCTGTTCCTTGAAAATTTTGTAACTTACTTGATGCTGCTTCTACACCTACCCACGCTAAACATGGTTTATTTGTTTGTTTAGGTTTAAGTGCTGGATAATCTAATTCATCACTATTACATGTACCACCTTTATTATCCACCTTGACCTGATTTAACCGCCCATCCTTAACTGCATTATTTACTTCTTCTTTTAAAGTACGACGATAATTTAAAACTACTGGGCACTCCATACTAAGAGAAGCATGAGGACCTTGACATTGAGCACATAATACTGACTTTTGACTTGTATGATTAAGATTCCATAAATCTAAACATTTTCGACAGAGTGGACCTACTTTACATTGATATCGAGTATGACCTAATTCCCAACAATTATTACAATAAGTCATTTTAAGACCAGGTATAAATGCAGTTATAGGTAAAAGTACATGACCAATAGCTAAACGACCAATACTTAATACCTCTTCATATTCATTTTCATCTGTATACAAAATCTAAAATCATCTGTAGATCTAGGACGGTAATAATTAATTTTTGAAAATTGTATAGCTGATTTAATTGATCTTGATATTTCCTGAGTAACGAATTCTCTTGGTAAATCAGCTGGTACATAACGTATAACTACTGCACAGGAATCAGGCAAAGCTCGAGGTCTTTCTATTTCAATATCAATTTTGTCCATGTCTTTTGACCACTTACAATTCGAAAGCAACAAAAAGTCATTTTTTGTTGTAACACCAACTTTATAACGATTTTTACCTGCCGGGACCAAAAGAGAAAAATCACCAAGTGATTGAGCTGATTGTTGTTGTATCAAATGACGAATCCATGAAGCCACTTTCATAGCAGATGGTAATTTTTGTTGTTGAGCTAGATTATCATCAAGACTAAAATGTATATAAAAACATGGTAAATTAGTAGATATTGCATGTTTTAATTGGGCTGAAGAAAAACAAAATTGACGATCAGTTGTTAATGATGATGATGTTATTTTATCCTTAGCATTAAAATTTGTTGATGTTAGTTCATATGGACGAGATTTTTTTGTTCGACTTTGTAATTGAAATTCAGAAGAGTTACTTTCATCTAATGGTCGTCGTGGTGTTGATGATGTTTGATTACATACTGTTAATGATGGTGAAACAATTGTAATATCAGTATGTGTTTTTGTCATTTGATTATTGATCAGCTGATATTGATGTTGAGTGGACGATGATGTAATTGGCTTGTCAGTTATACGTT